CATTTATATGATTGGTTTATAATAACTTTAAAGGACTTGGTATTATGTATTAAATACCCATGAATTTCGTCTGTTGGTCGATTTCTTAAATAAGATATAATAAAATTCGTTTCTAAAAAAGTGACCCACGCAAATAAGGTGAAGAAAAAAAATTGAGAAATTATTCAATATTACTATTTTCAAAGTGAAACGTTGTCACTTTATTTTTCGTAATTAAAATAAAATTGTTATACAGTAAACATTTTCATTTTTCGCATAACCTCATCATTATTTCACGTGCCATAGGTTTTTCATCCCTACTACAGGCTTAATAAATGTATGGTAATCGCCGTATCGTGTAAATAATCGAGCGGAAAGAATCGATAAAAAAAATTTCGAGCAAATGTTATAGGTAATAAAGTCCTAATAATTACGACAACGGGACACGGGGATAATCTATTTTTCCGTCCGCGTATCGGCAAGGCCGGATTACAGTGGTAATACACAAGGGGCAATTACTTTTGGTGAAGCTCTTTGGGAGTTAAACGCGACAAGCGACGACCACTATAATTGTACGTCGGTAATAAAGTATTCAAGTCTATTTCCATATGAAACATGAATTTTGAATGAAATCTGAAATAATGTTTTATTTATTTAATTTATAAAAATAAAAATAAATAATTCAACACATCGTGGTGTCTTTCAAATTTCGGCCAGGATCTATAGCCCCCATCTAGCCTCTCCCCATTGATTCAGTCCTACGAATCAAAATTGATTTACAGAAATAGCCTCATTCTCAACTAATCGTATGCTTAATTAATGATGACGAGAGCCGCAGATATTTTACTAATACTTATATACTCGGATTCGCGATGCCGATATCGTAAATTACGGCAATCGGATTGACGTGTAGGCGCGTACTGTTCGAAAGGATTTATTATTCGAGCCTGCCGCATTTTTTTTCGCTGAGGAATCTGTCGCGCAGCATTCCAATCGCTATAACTGTTATGTACGCACGGCCAAACCGACCTTCAAAAATGATTAATAATATTCATCCGCGAAACATAATTATATTGGTAAAGATGACTTTTAGAGAGTACGTGACGGCTGAAATAATATACAATCCGTCGTGCATAGTGCAATATATTATATATATCCGACGGTTCATAAATTTTTTGTTTTATATAAAATCGATATGGTTACACAAAACACATAAAAGTTTAACAATTGTACACGAAATTATAAATAATAACCGTAGTCTGGAAAAAAATAAAGTTGCACTTTTTACGTTTAAACAACTAATGCTAATATCGCGATTGAACGTATAAAACACGTGCTTTCAATACAATGACAAACAAAAGAAATATATGGAAATCGAGTGGATCGCTGTGTATTTAGTAAAATGTGGTACCTATATACAGTACATTATGCGTATTGCACGATCGTCCATTTACGTTTAATACTACGAGAGTTTTCCATCAAAATTTTGAAATCGAAATATAATATTTTTAAGAATTATAAATGCTTACTCGTCACGAAACAAGTTGAATACAATAAGTCTACACCGGTCTAATATCATAAATTATTATAGTTAAAATCGTCGACGTTCCTCGTACTTGCAGTAATAAAGAACAAAAGTTGTAATAACATATCGTTATGAATAGTTAGGTATGTGGTTTTACGGTTATTGGTATCATTCAAGTATTATTGTCCATCGTTAAACATAATAATGGTATTATTCGATGAGAAAATATAAAATGTCCATATACGGATGGAAAATAATTGTTGTTGAAGGAATGGGCTTCATAATATAATAGTTGCTCGCTGTTATGCGTTATTGTACGCATATACTCAGAATAGTATTGAGCTCGATTCAAGTATGTTGACATAATATAAACACCTTAATTTAGTTTGCATAGTTATATTATGAAAAAATCCTTTGTGTCGCACCGCAATAGTGTTAGATATCAAATATTACGGTTGGCTCGCGACTCTCGAACATTTATCGAAAACTCGAATCTAGTCGTTTGGTCCACTCGTTTGAAAACGCTGAACGCGCGGACACATGCTTCTGTTCAAACATACGCACGACGATATTACAAACAGCACTTAAGTATATTTTAAACTGTGACATAGAAGAATAACAATGTAAAGTAGTCTAGTCAAACTAGGCATTAATTTTACTCGTCTGAAATTTCGAATTGTTTAAACTAAACATTATATACGTTCAACCCAACCTCCGACCTACGCCAAGTAAAATCTAAAAAAATTGTTAGTTTTCCAATACAAAAGTATGTATGTTAGTACGAACCATTTTTTAACTTCCAATATTTTCAATTTACACAATTGCACGCGAAACATAATAGTTTATGAATATTTATTTGTTAGTGAAAATTATAATATTATGGTGAAACGCTTTTTTTTATGTATTTCATGTATTTTGGATTAATGTCTACATCCTAAAAACCAATATACCACAAAAGCACAAAGGTCTGTTGCGTTCACATGGTCAAAATATAGAACTTTTTGTAATTTTAATTTACCATACCAATATTATCACATCTAAAAGGTATGAATAAAAATATTTGAAAGATACTAAGTAAATTAAATAATGATCGAGGACACACGGAGTTTTCGATTGTTTGATTTTTGTACTTGATGATTGTGGTTTAATTTTCCTCATTCGTTTATTAAAGTTTTAAGTGTCTTAATTTTGCGTTTCATGCCTTTTATTTCTTTTGGGAAAAGGGGGGGGGGTCGATATCCGGGACACCCCTAAAAATACACTATTGTATAGGTTTATATAGTATATATATGTACTCGTATGTACGTAAAATTTATCAAGAAAATTAACAGACTTTTTTATATCATCATAGTATAGAATTATTTAAAAAAAATAGTTAAGCAAAATAGTCAAAAAAAATTAACTTTTTAACTTTACCTAAGCTTTTAAGGTAGTTAATACCCACATTTGAAAATAATTAACACGCTTAGTCCTTTTCATAACCTTTTTCTTTTTTAATTTAAAATATTAGTTTTTCCAACTAAAAAAAATTATAAAACCCTTTGTTAGCTCTCTTTTAATGCATTTTATTATGTAATGGATTGGTTGCACTGACTGACGTCGGCCGAGGCAGCATCACGGTAGACGCCAGTCATTGCGGACTCGTCGACGAGACACGTCATATCGTAAGTCTGTGTCATCGATGTGTTTTTCGTTTGTATAAATTATTCTGTGCATTCTGATAAATGCACTCTGTTATTTCTTTGTATCTATTATAATTCTAACATATTTTAAATAAATAATGACGGTCGAAATCAAAAACCATATTAAGTACTTTTCTTTCATACAACAAATGTACTATTTCTTTTAAACAGTGAGCAGCTCAATAATATATAATAAACTCATGTGTTCCATCTAAATATTATTTAATTAATGAATAATTAATTTATCATCATTTTCATGGTATCGTGTATCAATTGTATTAGTTGTATCAATGATCAATGGTATTCTTCCCGTTTGATGTACCGTTCATTCATTGTTCGTGGCCCTGCATATTTTTAAGCCTTTAATAATTTTATATGAAGCCGTTTAAACGTTTTGAAATCAAAAAGAAGCAGTTACTATGTTTAAACGAAGCCATTTAAACGTTTTGTTATATTTCTAGGGGCCCCAAACTATTTTTAAATTGTTCACTGAACTGTTTCAAAAGGTACGCTGTTCGTTCTCGGTAAACGAAAAAGAATTTCAAATAAACCACCAATTTATATTTTCTTAGTACAGTATAGTTTTGATAAACCCAATAAAGTTTTATTATTCAAATAAAAAAACTCAAAGATCGCTATTGCACGGAACCACGTTTTAAAGCAGTTTTGATGTAATAGATTTCGTAACTCTTGTGCGTATAATTATTAAAATTATTTTTAAATAATAAGTAAGTAATTAAATAAAACAATAATTAGTAAATAGTTAATACTCGTTTTATGAATATATAAATAAATAGTTTATATATAAAAATAAATAAATAGGTAAATAAATGCTTAGCCTATAGAATTGTTATATTTGTTATGTACGAGAGGTTTCGAATTTCAAATTTATCATCAAGTATATTATACAAAGTCTATAAAATCGCGACTGCATATAAAATAAAGAAGGACGGTATACATTGAAAAAAATTAGCCGTTTAACATAGAGATAATTTATTTTCATTGGAGAGATTATTTAAAATCAGTCCTTATTTATCATAGATATAATAAAAAGTATAAATACTTTGGTTATTATTTATTATTATATTAATTAATTATTATTAATGTATGGTATAAGATATTATTTTTAAAATCGATTTGTACATTTAAAATGTTATTAAAATGATTATTTAATTATTTCAATTTATATGTATAACTCATCTAAAACTGAATTAAGGTTTATGTTATTTTGGGTACTTAATATTTCCATGCTAGTATTGGTATCAAATTAAATATTAGTTATTTTCTAAAACATGTTTAGCGAATTTTTAACTATGGGCAGTTTTTTTCATTTTATTTCAGAAATGTGTTTTTTATCTTATTTTAAAAGGTTTATTTGTTTTATTTAAATTATAATTACATTTATGAATTTATACATACCAGAATTTTCAAAAAAAGGATGATATTTTGTGGGATTTTTAATTATATTCTTTATATATTTGATTAAATTGTTATTAGTCTTAAAATCGAATTTTACATTATTTGTATTATTGTTTAGAATTTTAGCGAATTTGTTAGATATATTATATTGTTGTTTGATTTTGAAATATTATGCAGAAGTTTTGAACGTCCAACCAATGGACAACACACTTACCCATAATTAACGTATTACGTACGTATAAATCTTATATAGATCGTATAAACGTGATTTTCACTTGAAATTATTGCGAAATCATCCCTCATCCTGCACCATTGTTTTTAACCGTACATACAAATCTCGTATTATTGTTATGACATTACGGGGACATTTCATTAAACTTTGTTATCCGTTTCAGGTGCATTCTACTGAATCGGCGACAACCCACAACGGCGGCATTGGAATAGATAACGATGTGTACTGCGGTATCGGTGGCAGAACGACAACCGATTACTTCCGTTCGAAAACCATGCCCAGGTAAAGATATTACAATATAATATTATTTAAATAATCCGTCCGCTTCCTACTACTTTTTAATATAGAATAGTAATGCGCGCCACGGCTGTATGTGCTGCAGTTGTAGATGTACAAGCATAGTGCGTTATATTTTTAACGAACCGGTTGTAAAACGCTAGCCCAAAATTTCAGTCACTTGAAAAGTTAACAATAAATTAAGTTTTAAACATAAAACGGTAGCGATAAAAGAATGCAATTACAAATAATCTACTGATCGTTTTTAGTTGTAATAATCGTCTGATAAATATTTACAGTGATAAATGGTAACCAGGGCTGGTAATAATATAAGAAGGGCTATTACTTTTTGTTACCCTTTCCCCAAAACAACACTTCATTGCATTTATTCAGATTTAGTAATTCGTAATAAGTATAGTGTATTTGTAGTATAGTCACAATTAAGTGATAAGACACATAGTGGCCTCTCTCAACTAGCGGCTGGAGGCTTTAGTTCCCTTCCCCCCCCCCCTCATTGAATCATCCCTGGTTGTTTGAGCAAGATGCATCCGAGTTATTTATTATTATGCAACTTGTTGTTAATATTATTATTATGGCTATATGCACCGCGCACTGTGAGACATCCTGTTGCTAATCTGTTTTTTGTTTTTCTTTCGTCTAATTATGCATATTAATAAAATCACGTTTTTGTTATTTTGGTTATGTGTCGGTCTTGATATCGCGCCGCTGGCATTTTTCGTTCGTCCATATATTCATTTTTGTTTTCTGTTTTGTTACCTCGTCATCGTCGTCTTTTCCACAACAACTTTGTTCGTTCCCATCTTGCAGTATTTTTTCCCGAAAACCTCGTTTTATGTTCTTCTTATTACGACCGTTTAGTAATTATCGTTCGAACAATATTTTTTTGCCAGAACTAACTTTTTAATTCATTTTCATTAAATTACAATAAATAAATTAATTAAATCTATCATATTCCTATCCAAGTATATAGATTTTTCTTATGGTAAAACGATGAAAAAACTGAAAATATGAATAGCGAAAACGATTTTGCGTTGAAATTCACGGAGGCACGGTCGAGCCCAAAAAATCTAAAAAGTACGGGGTGGAAAATGTAAACACGCTCGTACGGTTTTATTGTCGTTCAAATGGCGTGTGCGGTTCCGGCAGTGGTAAAAAGTTTTTTTTTTAACAATTACCGATAAACAGTTAATATTTAACTTTTGTCGATGAGGAAGGAGTTCACCAGCTACGACCGCAGTAGTTTGACTTGGACCACGATCCTTTTATTAGTTCGAACGAAAAACTCGCAGGGATCGGTGCTGCAACGGAGAGTTTTAAAAGCGGCAAGAATGAGAAATTAATATAAGTATTAAGCGCTTATTGGAAAATAAATGTAAACCGTGACTTGAGTAAATCATAAAAGCATAAAAAATTATTAATTTCAGCAGACGATTGATTTATTATTATCCTTTATTATTACTTTTATTATTATTATTATTATTATTATTATTATTATTATTATTATTATT